CAGTGGGATGATCTTCAAAAAATGGAAAAGATGTCTCGTCGAAAGTGACATGACGAGAGAGGACTTTGCCAAAAGAAAGGTTAAGGCACCGATACCCGCGAAAATTGGCAGGGTACCCGAGGAAGGTACAACGAGTGAACCGGTGTTCCAACTTGTTTTTCCGTGTCGCGGTTGTGTTAGGATAACACGCACGCCCGAAAACCCGTATGTGGTCATAGGAAGGTTTTCGATGATAAAGAGCAGTCATAGGATTGGTGAATTTTAAGAGTTTGGTGGGGAGAATGTTGTGGAGATAACACGCGGTATGTAATGCTTCAACCCAGATATGGGGTGGGAGAGATGCGTCTGTGAGAAGAGCGAGTATGATCTCGTTAAGTCTTCGAATCATACACTCGGATTTCCCATTTTGTTGGGAAGTGTGAGGGCAAAAGAAGCGGAAGAATAGACCGTTTGTTTCAGCAAAATATTTGAAATTTTGGTTATCGAATTCACCCCCTAAGTCACATTGAAAAGCTTTACTTGTGAGACTGAATTGAGTTTGGATGTATTTATGAAACTGAGAGAATTTGGAAAATGTTTCAGACTTGAATTTTATTGGAAAACCCCATGTATATTGTGTGAAATCGTCTATTAAAACCATGTAATATTTATAACCTATTTTGCTGGGGGACAAGAGATGTCCATAAGTCAAATGAACAATATCAAACGGTAAAACAGTAGTAGAATTAGAATCGAAAACAGTAATCGTTTGTGCTTTGAAAGCTGACAAGAATTGCAAACCAAAGATCTACTATGTTTAGGACATGGAATAATATTATTCAAACTAAGAAAATCCAAAACAAGAAGACCGAGATGTCCCAATCGATCATGCCAAATGTCTCGAACACTTGAGGTGAAAAAAGTGGAGTTGGTGACCGGATAGGTGAGAGGATATAGACGTCTCAAGCGTTTGTGGCAGGACAGCATCTGACCACTCTGATAATCCTTCACAAAAAACCCATTGGGATCCAAGTCAATGGAAACATCATTATCAACAGAAAGTTTACGAACAGAAAGGAGATTCTTAATGATGTTGGGTGTGTAAAGAATGTTGTTTAGGTGTAGGTTACGTGTGGTTGTTGGAATGGTGGAGGAACCCGATCCATGAACCGGCATAGGAGCACCATTACCAACAAATATTGAGCCAATGGGACAATTTAACGAGGGTTTAGAAATCTTACCTTGGTCGCTCGTGAGATGGTCTGTTGCACCCGAGTCCATGTACCATTGATCATCAACCGGGTCCATGGTCATTGTCTGAAGTGCTTCRCCAAGCTGAGTTGGCTCAAGGGGGTTAAAGGCAGTGAGATTAGCCTGGTTCGCTGTTGAGCCAAGAGGTCTTGGGACTAACTTGCGACGTGCAGGTGGGCCGTGAGGTGTGGCCCAGGCTGGCATAGGAGATCCAGCCCAAGAAGAGGCCCATCCAGAGTTGGTGGGATATGGACTGGCAGTGGGCTCCAATAGGCCCAATTGGGCAGCCGATTAGGCTGAGAATTCCATGGCGACCGAGTCAACTGAGGCTGGCCTGAACCACGCCAAGGGCCTGTTGAGGAGGAACCGCTAGAGGAGTTATTGGGCCGCCTATGTCCAGACCTGTTATTGGGGCGTCTTCTGTTGACATAGTTTGAAGGATCATGTGGTGGTTCTGAGGAAACAGCAGCCATAGCAGTCTGTGTAGACATGGTTTCCCGGGCATTTTGTCGGTGATGTTCCAACTCGAGCATACTACATGCAGTCTCCCACATGGGAAGACTTTGATATACGAGGCCGCGGTGTCGTATTCTGCCGGAAGTCCTCTAACAAGTTGAATAACGAGCATCTGATCATTAACCGGACAATCCACGTCATTCAGTTGACTGCCCAATTCCTTGAGTTTTTGGCAGTAAGCTTCAAGAGACGGCATGGATTTTAATGTGAGGTTATTGAATTCATGCTCTAGTGCCGCCGCCCTAGAGCCCTTGTTGAGAAAAATGGCTTTGATTCGAGACCAGGCTTCGTGGGCAGTTGACTCGGTTGCCAAGACACGAACCAGTAAATAATCGGACGTCCCGTAAATCCATTGCAATACAATCGAATCATTTCAGTCCACGCTTCATACTCTGCATCAGTTTTCGCCGGAGGCGGTGTTCCGTCAATGTGTGACATGACTTTGTATCCCTTGGCATGTAGTTGAAATAACTTGACCCACGAAGAGTATGAGACCTTCGTACCGTCAAGCACCCGGTCCTTGTGTTGAATGTTGGTCACAGTGTAAACGGGGTGAAGGGGCTTGGTGACATTTTCAGGCTTGTCATATTGAATGATCCTAAGTTTGATAAGGCTTTGGAACACCTCTTTCTTTTTGTAAATTTTTTTTGAAGTATATAAAGCAAATACTCACGCGCACTCCTCACCTTTGGTGAGCTTTGAACCCTTGACCTCCTGGGCGGCTGGCCTCTACCAATAACCCAGGTACCACTTTCTTCTCATCTCCTTCACCCATCCAAACTTCTCCAGTATTCGAATTTTCATTCTACATATTCATATATTCACTATAGGATAAGTAGCTAATATTCATGGTCTATTGATTCTCACTTACTAGTCATTTTAAAGGAAAACTTCACAAGGCTAAAATAGATGGTCTATTGATTCTCACTTACTAGTTATTTTGATTGTCAAGTGACAGAACTATAAACAACTAGCAGACTAGCTAATATTCATATTAGTTAACGAATGAACTAAGTGGTCCTAGAAATGTTAAAAAAATTGAATGAAAAGATCCCAATTCACTAACCTATGCCTATGCTTACTAAGTGAATGGTGATTAGGGATACACAAGCAAATCTGACACACATCTCAAATTGAAGCCTACATTCCGTATTTAGGGCTAGGGAAAAAAGTTTAGTTCAGAATGTGGAGATAAAGAAGGCTCTATTTCATAAAAATAAATTATCCTCGAATTTTGCCCATAAAATAGATAAGGTCGTGATTCCATATGATTTCTTCTCATCTCCATATTTCCCTCTCCTGAATTCTCCATTCCTCCACTTAACGTTCTACATAACACTTCATTCCATATTTCCATTGGACTCACACCCTTATAAGATATATTTTACAACACCAACAGGGATTATCTACTGTTTCTCACATTTTAGTCATATTGATCGTGAGTTGATAAAACCATAAATATCTGACATCTACAATAGTGCCCAATTTACTGATATATATATACCCAGATTTATCAAGTGAACTGCAGTTCTGGGTACACAAGCAAATCCAAATTGCGTCTAAAATTAAAGCCTGCATGACTCTACTAGAGGTAAAAATGATAAATCGATTCCAGATATATCAAATTTCACCATCGTTGATCCTCCAAGCTCAAATATGTTCCTTATGTCCCACATTAATTCATGTAAGCATGTACTGTTTTTTGACGTAGGCACTCTTTAAGTACACTGATGCCTAACTTCAAGACAACTATTCATAAGACTTAGTTGTACAATAAATGTCATTGTGATTCCATATAGCGGTCATATTGAATGATCCTGAGTTTGATAAGGCTTTGGAACACCTCTTTCTTTTCTAAATTTTTTCTGAAGTATATAAAGCAAATACTCACGCGCACTCCTCGCCTTTGGTAAGCTTTGAACCCTTGACGTCCTGGGCGGCTGGCCTCTACCAATAACCCGGGTACCACTTTCTTCTCATCTCCTTCACCCATCCAAAATTATCCAGTATTCGAATTTTCATTCTACATATTCATATATTCACTAGAGGATAAGTAGCTAATGTTCATGGTCTATTGATTCTCACTTACTAGTCATTTTAAAGGAAAACTTCACAATGCTAAAATTGATGGTCTATTGATTCTCACTTACTAGTCATTTTGATTGTCAAGTTACAGAACTATAAACAACCGGCAGACTAGCTAATATTCATATTAGTTAATGAATGAACTAATTGGTCCTTTCTTTCCCTGGCTCGTTTGCTTCTTTCTCTCCTCATTCGTGCATCTAGGAGCACGAAACGGCTAGTCTAGAAATGTTTAAAAAAAAGTGAATGAAAAGATCCCAATTCACTAACCTATGCCTATGCTTACTAAGTGAATGGTGATTAGGGATACATAAGCAAATCTGACATACATCTCAAATTGAAGCCTACATTCCGTATTTAGGGCTAGGGAAAAAAGTTCGGTTCAAAACATGGAGATAAAGGAGGCTCTATTTCATAAAAATAGATTATCCTCAATATTTGCCCATAAAATAGATAGGGTCGTGATTCTATATGATTTCTTCTCATCTCCATATTTCCCTCTCCTGAATTCTCCATTCCTCCACTTAACGTTCTACGTAACACTTCATTCCATATTTCCATTGGACTCACACCCTTATAAGATATATTTCACTACACTAACAGGGATTATCTACTGTTTCTCACATTTTAGTCATATGATTTGATAAAACCATGAACATCTGACATCTACAATAGTGCCCAATTTACTGATATATGCCTAGATTTATCAAGTGAACTGCAGTTCTGGGTACACAAGCAAATCCAAATTGCGTCTAAAATTGAAGCCTGCACGACTCCGCTGGGGGTAAAAATGATAAATCGATTCCAGATATATCAAATTTCACTATCGCTGATCCTCCTAGCTCAAATATGTTCCTTATGTCCCACATTAATTCATGTAAGCATGTATTGTTTTTTGACGTAGGCACTCTTTAAGTACACCGATGCCTAACTTTCTGAAATATGTCCGTGAACCCAACGATATCAAATATGATTACCTTGTTGATTCCTTCTATGCTACTGCACACTTGCAAGTGATATTTACCGATATGCTTAGTTGAAGATATCAAATACGTGAAACCGTAGATACAGGCAGGCAAATTAAACCAAATATTGGGCGATAGAAGGCAATTCTAATAATTTAACACAAGAAAAGGTCCTACTACACTTTGCAGTAGGTTTAACCATACCTCTCTTACGATAAAAAGTGGAAGAATTAGCTAATGTTTCACTTCGGAAATGGCGAAAACGTTGAAGCCAGCGTTCCATAACAGACGAAACGTACCCATTGGACCGCTGCCGGCGACGGTGTTTGTCGATGGCTACTCGAAAACGATCTCTGAGGCGGTGCTGTACACAAAGTGCTCTGTCCTTCCACCGATCTTCCTTCTGGAACCAACGCTCCTCCATTGTTTTCAGATCAAGGCTCGAGCACGGAAAAAATATCGGGAGGGGAATTAGAGAGCAGCGGGAAGTTGGAGTGCGACAGGTGTTTAGGTTGTAAGTGTTTGCTATGGCTACTTACCTATTACTTACCCGGCCCGATGCTTGTTGGCAAACAGTTTTAGGTATTATTATTTTTTTTTAAATTTTTAAGTTTTTCATTTATAAAAAGTGATACTAAAGTCTGAAATTTAAATCAGTTAGATTGTTTATTTTTACGTCTGAAATCTGAATCAGTCAGACTATTTGTTTTTACGTCTAAAATCTAAAATCTGAATCAATAAAACTGTTTATGTTTGTAAACTGACAAACGTTTAAAGTCTGAAATCTGAACCAATTCATTTTAATTAAATTCAACTGAAATGTTCAATCATTTAAACTATTTGTAAACTACCATCTATTTTTAACACATTCAAAAACTTTAACTAAAATATGTTAATTGATTCAACACGTAATAGAAAACATGAACAAAGTATAATAACAACTAGAATCAATATTCATTTTGCATTAATTGTGTCACAATTTCTTCTTTTAAACTAGTCATATATGTTTGATCAGTGACACTCCCATGCGATCGAACCTTTTCGGCCTCATCCTCGCCATCGACCATCGTCCTCTTGCTCGTTGGTTTGATAATACTCAGAAAATAACTCATCACTTAAATATTACTCTCGTATGATGTTGTGAACCGCAAAACATGCAATAACAACGTCTATTTGAACCTCAAGTGTAAATGGTGCCATTCTTTTCAATTTTGAAGAATATGCTTTCAAGACACCATAAGAATGTTTAATAGTATTTCTAAGATTTGCATGGAAATGATTAAACCTTTCATACTTGTTCATTGTTGGTCGACGACGAAAATCTCTGAGCCAATATCTAACGTTGCAATGCGGTGCCATAAATACTCGACTATATGTATACACAACATCACATAGATAATATTTATCTTAAAACAATAAATAAAATAGCTATTAATATGAATGTAGTAAATATATTACCTCTAAAATCATTAATATACCTGAAGGAGGAAATGGAAATCCAATATCACCGTCTATTAAAGCTTCGGACAGAACTCTAGAATTATGTGCAATTCCTTCCCATCCGGCAACAAGAAATGTAAAAACCATGTTGAAGTCACAAATTGCCAAAATATTTTGAGAGCATTCACCTTTTTCCTCGTCCTCTGTATACATGTTATTCTTGAATAGAGACAATAGCATGTATTAAAGTTCCATTAAGGGCGTCAATTGCTCCCTACATTAAAGCTAATAGTCAAAATAAATTTACTAAATAAAGTTATACAACTATTATTGAATTATTAGTTCCCTCAAATATCCGTCGTAACCTCCTATTATTCCCAGAGAATATCTGGATTAGGATCGAATGATGTAGGAAGTATGATCTTTTTAGCAAACTCAATCATTTTATCCAACACTCCATGAAAAAAATTATGAATTTTTTGTGTTAAGTGTTGAAACCTATTTTTCAACATTCTATAACATCGATTGTGACCTATAATTATGATAAGTCCAGATTTCATACGAATCTTGAAGTAATCTTCAT